TTAACGTTAGTTACGTTACGTTTACGTTTACGTTACGTTACGTTACGTTACGTTACGTTACGTTACTTACTTACTTACGTACTTACGTACTACTACTCTCTCTCTCTCTCTCTCTCTCTCTCTCTCTCTCTCTCTCTCTCTCTCTCTCTCTCTCTCTCATTTGACCTGACTTGTAGGATATGGAACTGGGACACTTAAAAACTTCATGCGACTAGGTTTTGAGGTTCACACCCTGAAAAGCCATATTCTTCATATCTCTGCTTCTTATTCCATTTTTTTATCTTGGGAAGTAGCAAAGGTCCCCCAACCATAACCTCAAATGTGTAACCTCCAGCATTATTAAGCCCCTCAATGTTTTCATTCATTCTCTCCTTCTTCCATTTAAAAGCAAGCCAATTTTTTGAAACTATGCGTGATGCCCCTGTTTATGATTAACACTGTGCCTTTTCTATTTATGATCATTGCTCGTCATTCAAAGTTGTCTCTTTTCTTTCTTATTTTGTGTTAGTTATCTTGAAGCACTAGATATTAGCATATAATTTCTGTAAATCAACTTTGCACCTGGTGTCCATCATTTTTCTGGGTCAAGGTGTAACTCCTGACATGGTTTTTGGCATAAACTTTGCACTTCAATAGGGAGCTTTGCTTTAATATTTTGTTTGTCTGAGTGTGTCTTCCATGTAAGAATCAGATGCTTATCTGGGATGTGCTCCATTTACCTTTAATTTACTAAGTAGTCAGGATGAAACACTGCTCATGCTTTGTCCTATTGCTTATTTCTTGGTATTACAAGTTTATACAATTCACACTTCTCTTATTTCTGGAGCTAAGAAAGTGATTATATTGAAATGAACATAAACCATTTCAAATTTGATAAAATATTCAACATATCTTTTCTTCTTAGTGATCCCAGATATTGGTCATATCAAATGCAACGAACTTAACTTTCTGGTCTCTCCTTTTTTCTTGATTTTGACTTATGTTTGCCATTTTCTTCAAAAACTTTGTCAGATTATGTTTTAGTCCCATGCATCTTCCTATAGTTTTAGTATCTTTGCTCATGTGCTGGATTTGTAATTTTTTAGTTTTAGTAATTGAGACAAAATCTGTATTTAATGCCAATATTCTTACTATTATGAACTTACAATATGGGTTGAGGGCCTGCGGATGCTTTTGACAGTTATTTTCTTGTGTAAAATTTTCAGAACAATATTCCTGTCTTCTGCCCCGCTTTAACTGATGGTTCATTGGGAGACATGCTCTACTTCCACTCAGCCCGTAATCCTGGTCTAGTTATTGACATTGTGCAAGGTATGGCAATGCAGTTTTTGGCAGTCAAGAAGTGAAACTAACAAAAATATTGGTGTTTCTTTGGAAAATCCTTACTTCTCTTTCTTTTTAATGGTGAGAGTATATAGATATAGGAGCCATTAACAGGGAAGCTGTCCATGCAAAAAAGACAGGCATGATTATTCTTGGAGGTGGGTTACCAAAGCATCACATTTACAATGCCAATCTGATGCGAAATGGTGCGGATTTTGCTGTGTTAATCAACACTGCACAGGAATTTGATGGGAGTGACTCAGGAGCTCGTCCTGATGAAGCTGTTTCTTGGGGGAAGATCCGAGGGTCTGCAAAAGCTGTAAAAGTATGTTTCCCATTTTTCTAATTTGTTTTAGTTTATTCTTGTTTCCTTTTGACTTTGTGGTGACAATAGTTCTTATTAGTTGACAATTTTTTTTTTTTAGCCATCCAGAAAACGGTAACCATGTCTCTTAGATTTCCTCAAAAGAAAAAAACAGGGCCTTTTCTCGTCTTCGTATTTCACTACATTTACCCCTTCTTGATTTGCTTGAATCAAGATTCACAAAGTGAGGGCCTTGTAATGTTTCCTATTGAGGTTGGAAACTGAAAGGTCCAGAGGTGGAGGCAAATTTTGGCCAAAGTCCCTCTGTAAATGATGAACTTTATAGGAAATGGGATGAGGTGGTACTTCCTCCGATGTCCCAAAAAGAGGTCTCGGACTCCATTCCCACCAAAAATATATTACTGTCCACAAAAAAGTGATGAACTTTATAACATCTAAAATGCAGTGTAACAGAAGTAACGTCTATAATACAATCAATAACAGCCCCTATTTGGGGTTTTTGTTCATTGTTCATAGGTTCCTGCTTAAGCTTAAAGATAAATAAATGAGTACAGAAGGTTAGAAACCCAGCTCCCAAATAAGTTCATCGTGAGTAACTATATTAAAAAAGAAAAATAGGTTTATTTTACCTGAAAGTTGGATTAGAATGCATTTCAGAGTACAACACATTCCTACTAATGTGGAACATTTTTGCTTTTGGTATATTTCCAAGATGTAAGCATTAGGTTTTGTTTATAAATAAGAAAAGTATTTGATGAGTCGGCCCACTCAAAATTTCTTGTGTTGTCTCCCTCCGAATATATATCTCAAAGATGTATTTTTTATCCTAATCAACACAAGGTCGATTGGGATGTTGAGCGTCAAGAAACAACATATCCATAGGATGAATGTAGCTGATAGGAGGATGTTGAGATGGATTTTGTGACATGACAAGAAGGGATGGAATTCGAAATGAATACACTCGAGAGAATTTAGGTGTGGCACCAATAGGCGATAAGATAAGAGAAAGTAGCCATCAGTGGGTTGGTCATGTGCAGCGCATACCTAGTGGGGTAGGCCCAAAAGGACATGATTGGAAGTAGTGAGAAAATATATGACGATTTATAGCCTCACTAAAGGTATGACCTTTGATAGAGCTGAATGGCGCATCAGAATTCATATTAGCCGATCCCAATTTGAACAAAGGCTCTAATGATGATGATAATGTATTTTTTATCTAAAATTTTAGGGTTTGATAATATCAACCAAGACAATGATCTAATTTCGAATTTTCTTTTTAAAAAATATAAATACTGTTTTGGAATTTTCACTGTCCATTTTAACGTTTAGTGGTTGAAATAAGTTTTAACATCTATCTTAGAGTTGGACATTTGATAGACAAGGGACCGCACGGTAATATGTTAGTCAGCTGACTCACGTCCTTATAAATGTAATCCTATGGTGCGATATATAATCTTTTGATTACCTTGTTCCGTTTCTTATTAAACTTTGACCTTGTGTTGATTAGGTGCATTGTGATGCAACTATTGCTTTCCCTTTGCTGGTGGCTGAAACATTTGCGAAAAGGTTCAAGAGATCTGATGAGTAATTTCCAAAGGATCACCGATGGAAGCTGTAATTGCTTGATTTTTTCTTTTGGAACTGAGACAATGGTGAGGGTCTTTTTAATTATTATCCTTTCCTATTTGAATCTTCGATTAGTGGATCATGTACTTAACGTGGTATTGTGAACCTAACGACGCAGATTCTTCTCTTCTTTTTTTTTGCCCCCTCATTGCATCATGAAATTTAATTATCCATGAGTAATCGAGCTGCATGGCACTTGTCATTCAGACTTCAGAATATATTTATTGGGTGCAAACTTTCTATGCTTCCCCTACAGCATAAAACATAAAACTTATATGCTTCTTTTTATCCAACCATTCATTCTGAATGGATGGCTAAAATTGCCCCAATCACAATGTCACGTCTCTACATGAATTTATGTTTAATTTTGTTTATATAACATATTTTGACACCAAATTTTGGGCATCCAATCCTCTATTAAACTGGCACTTGTAAAAATTATAAAAAAAATATTTTTACTTAAATTAAATCATCAAAATACCCCTCAAAGCTTTAAGGGGTATTTTGGTCATTATATTTTATCAAAAATTTAGTTTGTAATATTTTTTATTGGTGCACCTCAATGAGAAGATGGCACGTACCAAATTTCATATTCATACAATTTGTATTAAAAAAATTAAAAATAAAATACTTTGAGGCGTCGGATCTAGGATCGAACAGTGAGTGGCTCACTTGATCAAAATTGGACGGTTGGATGGTAGGAGAAGCATAGACCTTCTATGCTGTAAGGAAAGTATAGAAACCTTTCCCATTAATTGGGCCATATCATTCATGGATAGTAATAGTGAAAAATATCGTTTGCAATTTAGAGCCGGTTGCTTTGTGTGGAGCAAGTGAGCTCAACTGAGCTAAAAGTAAAAAGTTTACAAAAATTTGTAAATCGTATGTTTCATCGTTACGATCTACATGGTTTTCTTGTCTCACTTTTAAGGTAGGCTTTAATAGGGCTGCGGCCCTATCAAACTAAGTAAAGCCTCATCTCATAAAATGTTGAAAAACTTTTAAATTCTAAAAATAGTATATATTGCAACAAACTATCTAAACCATCCATTTGACTCTAAAAATAAGTGCTTACGTATCTACAAGATTTATATCGATTTTTTAGTTTCAAATTTTATCGTTGGTATTGAAAATTAATTTTAGAGCCGACATGAAGATTTCTGAGGTTTTTATTTTGATTTCATAATAGAAACTTCATTCAAAACTAAAACCAAGTGTATTATGGTGGTTTGGAATGCGCTGTGAATAATGGAGAGAGAAGAAAGAAAATTAAGCAACCAACAGACGACTAGAGACGTGTTATGTGATTTATTTTTTTTCTTTAATGAAAACTTTCAATTTAAAATATGCCGACTAGACACGTGTCATGTGATTATTAGTTTTTTCCTTCAATGAAAACTTTTTTGATCCAAAATTTTAAAGTTCCATAATCTCAACCCTCTAAATTTAGAATTTTTAAAAAAAAAAAATTATAAATGTTATTTTTTTAATTTCTTTCTTCAGCATCCATTTTAATATTTAGTGAATGGAACAGTTTTTGACATCCATCTTAGAGATGGACGTTAGATGGACAAGGGACTGCATGGTAATAGATGAATCGCCTAACTCACTATAATCATGTCCATTTCAAAATGGGTAGTTGTAAACGTGTCATTGAATAGACACAAAGTTCCAAAAAAAAAAAAATTTATTGGATTTCGTAACTCACCCCAAACCATCCAATTTGACATTTAATGAGTGTCTCACTTATTTCTTTTGATTGAATTTCAAAAATCCAAAATGCCCATGATCATGAGTTGGAATGATATATATTTTTACATGATCTTGATAAACAAGTGAGATTTTAAATAGTTTATATTATAGTTGTAGTTTAATAAATTTTAAAAATTGAATAAAACAACCAAAGATAAGTCATTAACGTTAAAAAATAATAATATTATTATTATTATTATTATGTCTAAAGGGAAGTCTTTGCTGGTGGTTATACACCGCTTAATTATGAGGGTGATCCCTCATGGCGTGTTTTTGTGGGAAATTCCTTTCGGGGAGAGTGATTTTCATTGACCAATTTGATTTCCCAGGTTCGTTTCATGGCAAAAGTGCCGCTCAAGAAGCCGCTATACGAATTGGGATGATAGCATGGGAAAGTGGTTTCATATCCTCCGAGATATGAAACCGACATGCCAAAAATATCCCTCCTTAGGAAAGATATTCATTGAACTAGGGCTGGCAATGGGCGGGGCCAAAGGGATGAGCCAACCTTGGCCCTAGCCTGAGCATGGCCCCATAGGGCTGGCCCTAGCCTTAACCTGGCCAAAAAGCCCCTTGCCCTAGCCCTAGCCTAGGACCAACACTAGCTCTATCCAGGCCAGGCCAAACAAACAAATAAATAAATAATAATAAAGAAAAAGTTGGGAGGGTCGGGTTGGCCTTGGCCCAGGCTCAGCCGCCATACCCAAGGTTGTAGTTGCCCGGCCGCCCTAGTTTTTTAGGGCTGGGCTGTAAGGAGGTGGGCCGGGTGACCAGGCCCATTGCCACACCTACACTGAACCTAATGTGCCCTCAAGGAATTCCAAGCCTAATCACACCATATGTGCTTTCGTTGTCAAAACTCAACAATTCTAGCGCTTCAACTTAAATCCCAATCAATAAGGAGATCCCATATTTACCCCATGATAAACAAATAATATCAAAACCTCCAATTAGACAAAAAATTGTTATTAAGATTTGAGGCCTAGGAGAGAAAAATTACAAAAAAAAAAAGACTTAAAAATAGCCTTAGCAAATAATTTTAAGATCTTCAACTTGCATTTTGAAGCACCTAAAACTGAAGATATGGATGAAGAGTTATGCTCTTTGGGTAATAATTGCATCAATCTCCCCCACTTGGGAAAACCTGTCCTCGACTTTGATTCACTGTGTCCATAGGGAACTTTAGTAATTGGTGGTGTAGAACTTTAGTAATTGGTAGTGTAGCCCACTCTTATTCTTTGAAAGCTCATCTTCAGAAAGACTCATCTTGGACCAATCAATCGAATGTTGATTAATACGCAATCAATTTAACACTACTTAAAAACGGTTCTTCTGTTTAGAAAAAGAATACGAAAGTATATCCAACATTTCATTAAGCCTAGGTATGGGAAACCTATACTCGGCAGCCTGTTGAAACCACAATTGCCGCCAACATAGCATCCATAAGCCGTTCTTCCTTGGCATAAGAAGAGATGGTAAAACACATAGGCACATGCTCTCATGTAGCAACCCTACACCTATCCTGCTGACGCCACCCGGTAACATCTTCAAAAAAATTAACTCCCTAATCCATTTAAAAAACAGGTCGGTGCCCGGCTTCCACACTAAATTACCCAAAAATAAATAAAAAATAGTAGCTTGGTTTCAAAGAGTACCAAATCAATGCAATATTGTATACCTCTCGAAACAGTCGAAAGTAATCCAATGAGATAAGCTCTCAGGGGAAGCACGATTTTTTTTTCTTCAATAGAAGAATCTAAATTTTCAGCATTCCCATGCAAAGGCCTCCACTCCCTTTTTACACGTACAATAATCAAATAAAACAAATTTAGTTCTTTTAAACTGCCCAACCATGAATCCCATCTCCTATAGAACCACGAGCCTAATCCTATTCCCACATTCTCCCAGCCTTAGTCTGTTCATCTCTCTCTCTCAAATCTGAAACTCCATGAATAAGGAAATATAAGGCAACGTAAATGATGAACTATCTTTTGACAATTCAATAAGAAAAAAAGTTTATATAGAGCTGAGGCTCGAAACAATCAAATTAGTGCCCACCTCAAATTTCACAATAAGAGGTTGTTTTGATGTCCAAATATCTTCAAATTATTGTCGTGTCAAGCTCTCGCCCTATAGGTGGTATATTGCCTATAGCTTATGTGAGGCCAACATGGTAGTTGATGCCCTCGTTAAGATAGGATCGGTTTATCAAGCGCCACAATTTGGCATAGTCATCTGCCATACTTTCTCTCTTCTCTTATGACATGATTTGGCGTCCTATTATAGGGTTGTATAATAACATGTTATTCCTTTTTCTTTAATGAAAAATCGGGTAGGGGCCTTCTCCCCCACTCACTTATCCAAAAAAAAATCCTCAAATTGATCATGTCGAATCAAGATGCATGGACATGAGAAAAAATGAATTTCAAGTTTTGGAAATAGTGCATCTTATAACGCATTTTTTGACCATCAATTTTCAAGATTTTCAATTTTCCATAGACCTACTCGATCTACACTATTTTTTAAGCTTTAAATGTTTTATAACTAAAGATGAAAATATATCTTATGGTTATCATAAAGATTTCCAGTATTGAAACCACATTTCTTGACACTCTTTGAAGGTGCATTTTACTTTGATTGTTTAGAGCATCGGCTCTATACAAACCACACCCATTAAATAATATCAAAATCCTAATTAGTCTCAAAATTTGTCACCATTATTATGTAGTTTAAATTACAATTTAATGACTTACATAATGAGACTATATACATACATACAACCATATAACCACATACACGCGTGCACACACACATATATATAACACCTACATGCACCTTTGAGTAAATTTCTATAGTACTTCACTCACAGTTCATCACTATTCAAAATCTTTTAGATGGCCATGATTATTAAATTATATTTAAATTTTAATACTGTTTTAGAAATTCAATTTAGCTCAATTTTGGGGCGTGTATACATCTAACCATCTCACACTTAAATAAAATATTTAAAAAATAATTATTAAAAATAAAATGATGAAATTGCTCCAGAAATAATCATTGGGATAATTTGGCTATTATTATTATTATTTGAATTACTTTTCATTATTTAAGCACATCTCACAAAGGTGCAAATACCCACAAAATTTGAGGTTAATTGGATTTATAAAAAAATATATATATTAAAATATAAACACTACTACACAATTTGATGGACTTTAAACAATGATGAATCACAAGGGAAAAAAAAAAAGAGACAGGGAGAGATTTCAAATGTGCTCTGTCTACCTCCCTGATGTAATGGGTTTTTAAATTTTTTTTATTTTGCTATTTTAGATTTTTTTAGATCTAGGGTTATTTTTTATCTTTATACTTGTAGAGATTTCAAATGTAGAATTAAAAAATCTGTTTTATTTTAAGATAAATATAGGTAGTTACAATAGAGATATGGGGGAGTTAAAAGAAAACC